CTGACGCTGAGATTATGTTTGGGCATCGAAAGATGATGTTTCGTAAAGTATGATGAACTTTTTGTTGATTCTTCACTACGATGTCACCAGCTCACGATATTGGTTAGTTGGTATAGTGACCAAATAGAATCAACCGCTCTAACTTTCACCAAATCTTTTTACGCTAAGCGCGCGTCAAAAAAATGTTGTTCAATATGTCTCCGTTTATTACGTCAAACTCTTATTGAAGGGCGGCAGATTCCGTATTAAAGCAGTCAGTAAGAATACATCTAAACTCTCGACGACAAAAACCATCGCCATCGTTAACCGACTAATTATACATTTATTGACATTGACACCAGCACACAACCTTCTAAAGACGATATAGTAACATTTTCGGATCGAATACTAATATCACGAAGACGATGTACGCGAAGTAAAAGTATGTTACATCTTTAATTTATCATCATTGGTCGAATTTGTAAATACGATCTTCAGATATCAGCCAAGATACATGCTATAATGACAAATATCTTCCACAAAGCTCTACCCATATAATATGCATGGCATAGGTACTTTGAAAAATCAACCGCAATTACAAGTCGACTATTTGTTGGAATCTTAACATAACTTCTAACAATTCGACAAAATCATTCATATGCGACCCTTAACCTCTCACAAACGGCGAATTCATGTGAACCAAATTTAACATTATCGGAAGTCTTCCAAGCTTACAAATATACTCAGAAATCAGGTGTGTATCCTTATCGTATTTATTTCCGCTGGCTGGGAGATAGAGATTGATCTAATGTGACATCACGGGCCAACGCTTGATTTAACACCAGACATACGAAAAAACTTGGACGGTATTGATAATGATCTTGATAATGTCCAGAGGTAGAGCGATATTAGATGTGGACAGTTCTGATGGCAGCGCGTGGAAAACCATCTATTATAATGGCATAACACCCCTTGCCAGTTAAGTAAATCCTATAGTAAGCTCTTATTTACATACAGGAGAATTACCTAAACCAAAAAATAGTTATGATATATTTAACCGCAGGTATGTGGTTACGAGTCGAGTGAAGTCAATATACGGTATTAACCTCTCACCTTCTGTTGTCTTACGATATAGTGAGTCAAAACAGTCTCAACATGAATTGATCACGAAATAAAAAATTGGAGCACGACATAAACCTTCACGCTGACATGCTCAGTACAAAAAGCCGAAGCAAGCGAATTTGAAAAAGAGTTCGAAGAACGTACCACACTTTAGCTTGCACCAGATTTGTATTTGTTTTATTCCTTTATTATTTCCCTCACATCGAACCAGTATCACCACCATCCCGGCAACTCTCAGGGGAAAGAACAATGTAAGCGATCAAAATTAGAGAATTTTATGTTTTGGCGGACAGTTTACACAAGGACGTTTCGTAACAGAAGCTGTGTACATTTATTGGTATAGAGTATTGGTCTATTAAATAACAGTTTTGTGAGGATTGTGTTACTGTTAATTGGCAGAGGCCACATCACTGACGTTAATTGCTTTTCAAAGATCACTAATAACGCAATCAAATGAACTTCAACTTTCGCGATTCACTTGTTATCACCTTCAAACTCACTTATTCCGCATTTAGTACTCCAATCATTCACAGATTGCATTATTTGATACTCAAACTCACGTTATGATGTTGAAGCTACTGAATAGCCGATTTGCGAGACATCACGTAATGGTTTGTGATAGAGGACAGAGAATGAACTTTGTGAGCGTAATTCTTGATCATTACGTTTTCCTAATACACTATCTAGTCGACAATAATTGTGCTGAGTAAAGACCTCAAAACCTCTAGTCAACCCAACGCGATTTCAGCGCCATGCGCATGAACAGCACGGAGGCTTTTTAGTGGATTCGCCGGACACCTTAAATGGGAGATAAGCTAAAGAGGTAACCCAGCACAACTGTAATATGATCGTTCGGCCAAACGGTTATATAAACAGACGCTGCCTCACCTTCATCCAATTCGAGATACACTTAATAGTGAACAACTGTTTCGACAGCAAGCCACCTATACAGAACACTTCAACAAACACTACCACTCAACGACAACAAGTAATATCAACATCAACACCAACATCAACATCAACATCAGTGAAAAGAAATGAACCCAACTCATGGATCGATCATCAGCAGCAACAGCAGCGGCAGCAGCGCATCGTACGTCGGGACGAACATGTTCATCGATAATAACTCCGTACCATTTCAACGATATTGCATCGATGAAGTCATCGAAACAATTCCTCGAGACTATCCGCCAAAGTTCTATCAGTACGTCGATGGAGCCAGACATTTCATCATTAGACGACGTGATAATGGATACCCTGTGGCGGTATTCGACAGCAAACGAGTTCGAGACGAGCTGTGCAGAGACCCAGTTGGATGGGAGAATGAATGCATCGACGCCAACCTGGCCATCGATCGATGGATGGCAAACGAGCGAGGGGAAAATGGAAATTTCTGGTTATTCTACCTACCATTACTTAACCGATGGGAATATGGACACGAGCGGGTGGACTACGGAAGTCATGCCACATACGAACTCCGCGATAGAGAAGTAAGGCTGTGGTTTGAGTGCGACATACGAGAATGCGCACCGACCAATGGTCCACAGATGCGCAGACACGTGGCTGAGTTCTTATACCATGCCCAACGGCCAGAAGGATGGGAGTCCGATTACTGGACCAACTGGCGAAGAGGGACCCATAGACCCACTCCTCCAAACAGACGAAACATTCGACCCGAATTTCCTATGGATACCAATGCAGCAATCCAACCAGGGTATGGAAGCGATGCGTCAAGCGCCAGTACCCGCGTCGAAGACGCCAACGAATCACACGCCACCGTCCGAACAATGGAACTCGTCGTTGATAACAGCGACACAAGCAGCGACGGGTTTGGACGAATTATTAGCGACATTGAGGATAACCTTGGAACCTGCGTCATCACAGGACCTGGAACCCATGGACCTATACAATACACAGACAGGATTAGGGATGATGATGAGTACGAATGGGGAATTGAACCAAATACTGCAGGAAGACTACAATATTGGATCGGAGATTTTGACGATGACAACGCCAACCGGAATGATCAACGCGAATCATATAATCATAGCATCGAACGATCAGACGATGAATTCCAATCCGATATTATCAATACCCAAGGAAAAGACGTTGTGGGAGTACGATCAACTTACAGCTGCAGTGTCTGAGAAATCGAACATGAAGGAAAGACTATCCAATACGCCGTTCATGCCGGATACCCATGGTTTTTCTATGGAACCTTGGAAGAAAATAAACGATACGAATATTTGTGGCGATCAGGAGCGTTACACATACCAGATGTCAAGCCACCCGAACCAGATGATGTATCCGACGATGAATACGAATACGACGACTACGATCGATATACCGACAGACCCGATACACCCTACGAAGAGTCCCCATATCCACAAGACCGTTCTTAAAACAAGTCAGGTATATCCCGCACGAGTCGCAAGTAAGGCGTATAGAAAACGAAGAAAAGAGAAAAAGGAGGAGAAGGAAGAAAAGTGGAGGGAGATATGGGGAGAAGTAAGAAAAG